GTTAAGTTTGTGCCACTGCATCTGACTGCTAAATATGCTCATAGCACATACACATTTCCAGACAATAACGAATAAATATGCAAGATTCTTTCCTATTCCTTTTAACTTGTAAAACTGCAAACCTAAATATTTGAATTTCTTCCATAAGCCTTCAGAAAAACAGAACTTTGATGTTTTTAAAGAGGAAAGATTATTTACTTTTGCTGCAGGCAAGAAATTATAATTTCTTTACTGATTCTGCCAAATGGCTTTATCATACATTTTTTATTTTCATCAAAACAAGCCACTTTAAATTAAGGTTGTCCCATAACTACACAGTAATCAACATTTTAAGGGTCAGATCAACTTGATGAACCTCTGTTTGACTTCTCTGCGCAAAAGACTCCTCCAAATCCAAATGAACCAGGGGGGAAGGGCGTCTTACGTCCTTCCCTCAAGTTTGGCAGTTGCTAGGAAGAATAAAGGCTGCAGTTTTGTTTTATTTTGTTCACATAAGCAGAACAGAAAACTCAGCAGTACCCATGTGGTTTTTAAACTAAGTAAGCTGAATTCAAACCTAGCGGTTAATACACTGAAGCCATCTAAGGAACAGTGAAACTTGAAGGTGAAGGAAGAGAGGGCGGAAGAAGAAGAAAGTGAGGAGAAAGGCTAGGGAGCAGAAAGTTTTTAAAAAGCAAAATAAATATGCAAAAGGAGGTAGCAAAAGTCCTCTGCACTGGCACAATATGCAGAAAACACGTTCTTACACCAACATGCAAGGTGCTTCGAAATTGGGAGCCAAGCCCTCCTGTACTAACAAAGCAATCGTAAAGATTCAGCTCTCCAGTATTCAACATACCAGGATAGTTTCTGGTTTAAAATACACTGAAGTCCATGAACACAGACAAAATCCAGGCCATCATCAATCTAGAGACAATGGGCAACACTGACAGCACAGCATCTCATTAATCTTCATTTGTCCTATCACATCCTGTCATTCTTATGCAAATCGCATATTTGAGGATACATCTTTTCTGCACCCCACGATAAGGAGAAGTGAAGCTGTCAGGAGCACCAGGATGTCATCCTATACCACAGGCCATCACTTCAGTCAGCGCCTCGTGTTTTACATCACAGCTAATGTGTTTGACATTCAAATTTGACCCAGCAGGAGGTAAAACTATCTGATGCCGCAGCAACATGTATCTTGCTTCCTGTGCTAAAACATTCACCAAGGTCCCTGGGGATCTGACAGTTTCTCTTCCTTCACTGTACCCTTGCTAATGGAGATTGAAACACTGCTTAAGAGGAAAAAAGATACCTACATGGGCAGGTAATGACAGCAATTCACCCTTCTCACTCAAGAAATAAGCCCCATACTAAAAGGCTAGGAAAACAGGTTCCACTGAAAAAGAAAAAAAGGACACACAAATCCTGATGAGTTGGTCTAGGTTTTCTTCCATGGTAATCTGTCAGACTACACCAGAAAACTTGTCCTCATGCATATCTGAATAGAACATTTAATTTCAAGCTAAGCAAATTATACACAGTGTGCAAAATATTTTATGCAAGATTTGTGGGGATGAGTGATCTCTCCTGTTAAACCAACTGATACATGGGGAAAATACAGACAAGCTTTGAAGCATAAGGAGCTCCATAAAGTTATTGCAAAATATTTTAGGTATGAAAAAAAAAAAAATCACTCGAGTGGGTAAATCACCAAAAACAAAAGGTATTTTTCCAATTATTGCTCATCAATTCTACTTAGAGAATGAAGACTAAACCAGAAGATTTTACTATTGTTACTGACTCAGAGTGTTATGTTTCTGTATCACTTTCAAAGAATGTTCAGAACATCTTGTTCCAGAATATTTCCCTTCCAAATGAAATCACTTTCTGTATCGTACATGGCTGCAAACAGACCATGCCTGTTTTGTTTTCTTATGAAAAACTGAAACTATCCCAAAGTATTTCCAGCATCAGATGAATAGGATGCAAAGTAGCTAAGTGCTACAAACATGGAACACAACTTAAGGCTGGAATAATATTTCAATACAATCGTGACATTTTAGAGAAATTACATTATTAATAGACATTTGTCACAAGTCAAAACAAGTTTACTATTAAACATAACTTTATAAAGTCTGACTCAAAACCTATTCACTACCCAAAAATAACATACTGTAGTGTTTGCAGGGATGATAAAGCGTACACTAGGCTCAGGGGAATACCTTTACATTTGATATTCCCACGTGCTGTTTTCGAATTACAAAAGATTAATCATCACATATTTGTCAGTCAAGAAGCAGTCACGTAAACGAAGATGCTGAATGGATTATTACCAATTCTGTAAGCGTATAATACAAAACTTACAAAGCATGCATACCACAAGTATTTCTTGGTTTGAAAAGCTAAAACATTTTCACAAAAAGTATACCAGACGTCTTCGCAGTCCCTGGAAGTAGAGAACACAGTCTGTCCTGTGCCTTTATATCTTCTGTAAAGTTCATGCATTAAAAATTACTGTATAGTCACCATACACCTATGAAAATAGGATACTTATTGTAATACGTAACTGAACTGATATTTCCATGACGTCTTCGCAGTCCCTGGAAGTAGAGAACACAGACTGTCCTGTGCCTTTGTATCTTCTGTAAAGTTCATGCATTAAAAATTACTGTATAGTCACCATACACCTATGAAAATAGGATACTTATTTATTGTAATACGTAACTGAACTGGTATTTCCATACGAAATATTAAATTGATGTAGAAAATGTTACCTTTTCAAAGGGATAACCAATCACAAACTAAACTAAAAGGTCACACTCAAAGACTTCCCATTAAGTGAAGTTCACAATACAAATGCTTTCTGGAGTCAGACTTCTTGCTTCCAGGGGAAAAAAAAAAGTGCAACTCATGCACTGCATATATTGCACAGACCCAGGAGAATATGGTGGCCTGGTATACCCTGTCTGGTGTGGATGAAGCATGATGTGAGCAATACCAACTCAAATGTGATTCTCCAGTCCCTCTAAATCAAAGTTTAAAATCCCCCCTCCTCCAGACTGGTGACATTTTGCTCTGTTATTCTGTAAGTGAATGCTTTCTATAAGATTACTATAACTTTTTTTTTTATTATGTCTTGGTAAAACAGTTTTAAATAAAAATCTAAAACATCCATTCATGGTTTCTTGCTAACAAAATTCCTATAATCACATGGCTTGCTACTGTGGGGGGCACCGTCTCATACAACTTTTTCATTTTCTTTACATTTAGAATCAAGCTTATTAGCTTTACTTTGGGAAAGAATACATAAGATATGTTGTCATCTAAACACAACTGCTCTGTTAGTTCTTGCAGATTCACCATCCTCATAAAATTCAGATGCACAAAAGATGTCAAATTTTTACCCACCACATTAAAAGTGGCTAGCCTCAGTTCCAGGTTAAGAGGTCTGGATTTGCATCAGTGATGTAGGTACAGTTGGCATGTATCTAGTAACTTAGGCTCTATCGAAAAGTTCTTGGTATTGCAGGGTGGCACCCTTAACACATGGCAGTACTGTCCCATTATTGCCATATTTCAAATAAATACTGTCCCAGTATGCCAATATTTCAAATAAAAACTAAAATATAAGAAAATAGTATTCGATGTGGGCCCAAGAGAAATCCAGTAAAAGGGAGAATGACAGAGAACTGAATTCCCGGGTGGTAGTGGAGATAACACAGTACAATGTTGGACTGACTCAGGAGAAAATTTCCCTTCTGTTCAACAAACAGAATTTTTTCAAATTCAGCTTAGTCTGACCCCAAAGAATAGTGACCAAAGAAAACTGAAATCAATTTGACAAAAGTGGAATTTTGAAAATTTCAGTTTTGCACAAGTGTGTTTTTCACTGATGAGTTTTATCGTCTTTTACTGAAAACACTTTGCTAGCTCTACTTTGCCATGGCAGGCACACAGATAGCGTGTAAGTAAGCTCTAAGTAAGCCTTTGTCAAGACAGTATCAGCTGTGTGGCTTCCTTCAGCTCAAAAGGGAAGAGGTCATGTTCCAGAGCGAAAATACAAGTTTTTGTCTCAAAACTTCATGTGTATATGAATCTTACTGTAAAAGTGTGTGTTTCATATGTATTTTATGCCTGAATGCTCCAAGACAAGCAGAAAAGACTATTCCAGAAAAAGGATAAAATAGAAGAATTGTTAACATTAAAAATAATTAAGAAACTTACAAGAAACCCTAGAAAAGGTCAGGAAAAATAAGTTTCATTAACTTGTCATCAAACTCATGAATGTTGCGAAGGTGAAAAGTTGTGGAATAAGGAACCTTACCAACACTACACAACTATCTTAAAGGAAATCACTTCAAACTGGTCTGTCTACTGCACTTAGCTGTGAGAAGACACAGCAGTTGCAGACCGTTTTAAAGTGGATTTTCCAGAGGGCTGCTGGGCTGGTTTCGTGTTTGGAGGTTTTCTGCAGTAAGTGTTACAACCCTCCCATTTTTACAAACTTGAAATGTTCTTGTCGCTCCAGCAGAGCTGCCACAGGATCTAAGGAGAAATTGCACTGTTTACAGTTGGAAACTGTAGTGCTGGCTGCAGGCTAATGGCACCAAGGAGATACTTAATCTTTTGAAAGGAAGTAACTAATGAAACCAACAAACTCCAGCAAACTCCCGCATAAACAAACACAACAGAAGCAAAAACCACAGAAGCAGTTTGACAGAAATGTTGCTGCACAAGTTCAATGAGCTTGATTTAAGGAAAACTTCTTCTAGGAAACAGATACTTAAGGCTATCACAAAACATTTTGTTTCTGTTAAAAATTCTGTAAGGGGGGGCAAAGGGGGGGAAGCGAGGGACATAATCCTATCCTTTGCCTTGTTTCCATTTTCAAACTTCTACTCTTAATCACTAAATTGCTTAAACAACAGTTTAGAGAGTAAAAGAGAATGGAATTATACCAAAATCTGGTCTTCTCAAGAGAGTAGCATGTATGACAGTGCATCTGTTTGTACCTTGTCTATCATGTCCGGTCTGTTTGTAGCTGCCAAAATTGTCACGTCCTTCAGCTGTTCTATCCCATCCATTTCCGTTAACAACTGAGCCAAGACACGGTCTGCTACATTTCCAGCACCTGAAGAACTGATTGAAAAAAAAAAAAAAAAAATCACAGCATTAGCTCTCGCTTCCCAGAAAACTGGAGAAAGGAGACTATACTGTTCTTTCCCACTTACAGGGATCCATCTTTCGATCTTAATTCTTTCTGATTCTTATTTTCACCTTCAATTCCTGAAACAGTGTCAGTCATATGAAGTGAGTAAAAGCAAATTGGAGAATTAGTCCTTCAAAAGATTTCTTCGTATTCAGCAAAGCAAATGAGGGTTTTTTTACTTACTGCCCTGCTATGTAGGTTGAAAAGAATTTAACAAAATGTGGATGTCTAGAATAAACATTTTTAGGATAACTGAATTCATGCAGCTTCTTTAATAGCCAGACAAACTTTTGGTTTTAGCACCATCCAAGTGAGTGCTGACACCACCCTATGCAGCATAAAAAACTAGGTAGTTCTGCATCTTGCAGAGCTGCTCTACATTTTCATGTTCTCCCCATCAAATGAGAATGAACTGAGTGTGGGCCAACTGCCTCGTAATAGCATTGTTGGTCGTTTAACTCAGTTGATCTTCCAGATACCAGGAAAGAAAACCAAGACTGAGAAACAGAAAACTCCAGTTTTGAAATCACCAATATATGAAAAACCTAAACAGACAAGGCATAAACTATGCTAGGCATTTGGTTTTTTAGTTTGGAATTAATTCTGGTAACCTTGAAGTTTATGGAAAATTTGCTCAAATGGCTTAACTATATGTAATAAAAAGCATTATAGAAATAAATTCTATTATTTTTATTAAAATTTCTAATATTTTAAAAAGAACAACCATATGATGTACCACCTTCTTCCTAGGCAATTCTTTGACGCATAAATACGTGCACACATCCACATACACGTCTATGTGCGCATACATTCACATGTATAACAGAGAATGCAGAAAAGGAAGACATTGCATAAATCAAATCAAGAGACCAAGCGCTTATGCTGTAATAAATAATACATCTCATGAACGGTTGTTTTCTTTATAGCATCCTTCCAATTCTGCATAAAGAGGTTTTATTTCTGAAACATTGTAAAAAACAGGTGACCACACACCATATAATTTTTTCTTTTTGAAAGGATACTAGACCTAGGAGATACTAAGACCATACACAGATAACTGTACACACTTATATGCTGGCAGACGCACTACACAAATGATGTATATGTGTTTCTTGCAGCACCCAGCTCTATATAAATATGGGGGGGCCGGGGTGAGCACAGGCAGCACGCCTGTCCCAAAAGTTCCCTCTACTGAGCATGGGGAGGGAAGCTGAAGCAGGCTGGGGAAAGCAGCTGGGAGTTGCCAGATAGCACCAAACATGCAGGTTTTATCCTCCTTTGCCAGAAACCATGAGCCCTGCTCTCGGCACACACCAAAAGCCTCCCTGTTTTTGACAAAATCTTCCCTTGCGGACGGCATGCACACACCTACATCTTCCTTCACCAACAGGACTGCTCTTCCAGCGCTATTCCCTCCTCTGCCGCACATGGGAGGGCTTCATTCCCCTACCCTTAAACAGGCCCTTTTTTAATTTTAAAAAATTAATCTCTCCAATTCTTCCAGATCCCTCAAACTTCATACTAAGAGGCAAAAAGAAGTCTCATACTTAAAATGAGGCTGGGTTTTTTCCTGCAACATACATTTTTCTACTGTCACCCCAAATCTACACAGGATTAAGATAATTTTTTAATCTTACATTTTTTGAAAGTCCGTTTCCAGAAGTACTGTTAAATGTTTATACAGATATACAGGCACCTACACAGGCAAACACAGTACAATCATTCTGCTGAACACTAGCTTCCAAAAAGAAATATTAGGTTTTAAAGTATAAGCGCTCAAATTATTTCCAACAGATAGAAAATACACACATACAGTTGCATAGTTATTATGCACATATATTGCTGCAGCACCGCCATCCACCACCAGCACACCTGCAACCACACTGATTCCCAAATGTCCCAGAGCCAAAGCAACAGTAATGACTCCATTGCTGCTGTACAGATCTCCTCCAAATAAATTCTTTAACTTTCCTATCCTACAACTGGTTCTGTAATTTTCCAGTGCAAAACAGTCAACCTATCTGACCTAGTCTGGAAAATATCTTTGAGGAGCTATAATAAATGTTGGCTAACAGAGTATTTAGGATGCTGAGAAATATTAGAGAAGGGACTTGGGTTACCTAGTCATCAGCTTTTTGGTTTGCTGCAGCCACGTTAGAAATCCCAAATGATATTAGAGCGTTTCTAACATACCCGTGGGTCATGGTCCCATTGACTTATAGAGGGCTGAACACGATAAAACACTTCAGGTGTTGGATAAGGATAGTAAATGCTTTTCAAAGGACACAGAGCTTAAAGGAAATTAAAATCAACTTTGTAACATAAGCTAGTCTCAGTAGGGATTCAGGCCTCCCATCTTGCATAAGTTTCACATTTACTCAACTTTATACCCCATAGACTGCACACAAGAAAAAGCTAAGCAAAGGAAAAAAATAATTGTAAGACTGGGACCAAAATCTTAACATTATATGAGATGATCTGAAGCTAGGAGTCTTTGGGGGAGATGCTAAACTTTTTTTTCTTTTTTAAGGAAACAAAGAAATATTTGGTTTTGAAGAGAGATGGCTAGAACAGATATTACATCTTTCCTCAATATAAAAACATTTCTCTTACAAGCTTCAGACCATAGAAAAAAAGAGAAGTGTTTATTCTAAAGAAAAACCCCACTATTACAGGGGAATGTACATTGCAAAGACTTTCATGCAATTAGGGCATAATCAGAAAACTGCAGTTAAGCAATCACGGATGGCATAATAGCACTCAAACAATGATGGGGATACCAGCACATTATTAGGGCCTTTATTATTATCTGTTAAAAACAGAGTAAAAAAATTTTAAAACCACGCATGCAAAAAATATCAATAATAAAAACAGTATCAAATGAAGAGGTGTCATGATACCAGGAATTTCAAATTTCAGTGCTTTTATTTACATAGTTCACTAAGCTGTCATATGATGCACCATTTTTAGCACAGAGCCTACAGCAAATTAGGTTTTGGCTTAACAAGATACCCTATAAAAATCAGAGGCAGGCACAGGTTTACAGCGAGAGATCTCTTTACCAGCTGCATCAGAGGCGCACCACGCGCTCTGAGAGCTCTAGTGTTGCCCAAGCTGTTAATCTGAAGAGTGACACGCAAATATGCGTTTTTCCATTTTCCCATGATTTCCCAGCAAGGGTTTCAAATTAACACAGGCAACGTTCATTAAAGCTGCCTGGACTTTTGACGCAAACAGCAGTCAGAGAAACAAATTATGATTAACCCTCCAGTCCCACGGAGGCACTGCCAAAACCAACTTCCAGCCAAGGGACTGACTTTGCCCCCCCACCTGACCTCCGCACGTTGATGTCATCATCACAACTGCATGGAAATAGTCCTCAAAAGGCACGTCCTGGTACAAACTAAATTTCCTGTCAACACGCCGCCTGCAAATCCAGGCAGTCAGAATTAAGTCCCTCACATAATCCACGCAGGGCCATGTGTGCACGGGTGCGTATATGCAAGAGCCGTGCCCTAACCAGAAATACCTTGAACTTCAAAGTAAAAAAAAGTGTGAGCAAAGAGGAGTCTGGCTGCTCCGTAAGTGCCTGAGAATTTCAAGTAATCTCTTGTGTTGCCCTAACGAAATACATCAGTCTGTAGCCTATGTGTTATTTTAATCTTTTTGCAACACCTCTTTCTTCAAAATCCTCAATGAGGGAGTTTTAAAGGCAAAAATTGTCTTTGCTTACTAGTTTATGACATCAGTTAGAGCCAGATATCCTCCCCTATGTGGTATTTCAGCTAATCCTGCAGGTGTACCACCAGTCTCAGAGCAAGCACACATGCGCTCCTGCATAGGCACTTCACTTGACCAGAGAAGCTTGCCGAATGGCAAAAGCATCAGATAAGACTACCCGTGGATTAAAAGCAGACTACTGAAGGTGCACATGAAAACCAAAACCTGTTCTTGGTATTTTATTTTAGCTAAAGACACTTCCAATACACATTTTGACAGAACAAAACACGCGTTCTACAGTGTACCAAAGTCCCACAAATAATCTGAATCAATTCTGGCCTTGTCTGATGGAACGGAGAGATCGTGACCCTCAGCTCCAAGTTCAATACAGCAGATGAGGGCTCACCATAGCACTTTTTCTTATCTCCTTTGGCCTTATCCAATGGCCATTCTAACGAGCTGGATTCAAATCTCAGTGGGAACCGACATTTCCCCTTGAACATCTTAAGCCACTCTCATACTTCTTCCTGGGGATATAAAAGCAACTGCAGTCTGATTCTATCACTGCATCAAGGAGTATATACAGTTTGCTAGCTTATATAGTTCTTCAAGCCAAGGAGATCGCATTTCCAGACATAACCAGATGTGTGAAATCACCAGATTTAAATCTGTTTCCCTTCTTGCTATAGGCACTTTTTTTGACAGTAACTGACTTCTTGTTTTGTACATTTTTACTTGTTTAACTTCCTTTTCTTCTCCTCCCCACCTCCTTTATCTAACAATTTTTTTAATATCTGAAAACTAAAACCAGCCTGAGAACGCAGTCATTACAGTTTCACCTCATGATGAAATTTGGTAAGCATCACCACTGCGAGCTAATGCAAAGGTACACTTGCATCATCTGACAACCCAGAACACTTCCAAAGCCAATGGAATGAATATTTTTACAGAACACCAGATGTCATTTTCATTGGAAAATGTATTTAAGTCTCAATGGCCATTTAAATAATGTAAAGGAGAACTATTGACACTCCATCCCACCACTGACTTCAATGGCATTGAAGCCTGTCTGAACACCTTAGCTTCAGAATCAGGACCTTAATTTAGTTACGCTGCTAAACTATAGACTTGGCAATGCAGGAAATACTCACAGAATATGAGCACTCTTAAAATTCACAGCAACTGTGAAGCTACAAAACCAGAAGGAAGT